TTTCCTGCTATGGCTGAAAACCGAAAAGCATGCATTCATCTTTTCATCAACACCGTTTAAGTGTTTCGTGGCAGGACCTCTTAAAAGAACTGTGGGAACTGGGTGGTACAAAAACCCCAATAGGTGAAACCTCATGTTACAACCATATAAATAAATTGAGAGAAAAAATCACATTATCATCTCACTACATGCTGAAAAACATTTGACAAATCTGACACCCTTTTATGATAAAGGTCTTGGAGTGATCAGGGATTTAAGAACGTATCTAAACATAATAAAAGCAATACACAGCAAGTCAACAACCAGCATCAAATTAAATGGAGAGAAATTCAAAGCAATCTCACTGAAATCAGGAGCAAGACAAGGCTGTAAACTCTACCCATACCTATTCAACATAGTTCTTGAAGTTCTAGCTAGAGCAATAAGACAACAAAAGGAAATCAAGGGGATACAAATTGGAAAAGAAGAAGTCAAACTTTCACTATTTGCAGATAATATGATAGTATACATAAGTGACTCCAAAAACTCTACCAAAGAACTCCTACAGCTGATAAATACCTTCAGTGATGTGGCAGGATACAAGATTAACTTAAAAAAAAGTCAGTAGCCTTTCTATATGCAAATGATAAAGAAGCCGGGAAAGAAATCAGAGAAATGTCACCCTTCACAAAAGCCACAAACAACATAAAATATATTGGGGTAACACTAACCAAAAAAGTGAAAAATCTATATGACAAGAACTTTAAGTTTCTGAGGAGAGAAACTGAAGAAGACACCAGAAAATGGAAAAATCTCCCATGTTCTTTGATAGGTAGAATCAACATAATAAAAATGGCAATCCTACCAAAAGCAATCTATAGATCTAATGCAATCCCCATCAAAATCCCAACACAATTCTTCACAGACCTTGAAAGAACAATATGCAACTTCATGTGGAAAAATCAAAAATCCAGGATATTCAAACAGTCCTGTACAATAAATGAACTTCCAGAGACATCACCATCCCTGACATCAGCTCTATTATAGAGCTACAGTAAAACAAAAACCAAAAAAAAAAAAACAGTTCAATATTAGCATAAAAACAGACAGGTTGACCAATAGAATAAAATTGAAGACCTGGATATTAAATTAATCCACAAACATATGAACACCTGACTTTTGACAAAGAAGCTAAAATTATACAATGGAAGAAAGAAAACATCTTCAACAACTGGTTATAAACATGTAGGTTAATGCAAATAGATCCATATCTATCCCTTCACACAAAACTCAAGTCCCAATGGATTAAAGACCTCAGTATAAATTCAACCACACTGTACACGATAGAAGAAAAGGTGGGAATTAGCCTTCAATGCATGGCACAGGAAACCATTTCGTAAAAATAATACCAGTAGCACAGATACTGAGAGCACAGTAAATAAATGAGACCTCCTGAAACTGAGAAGCTTCTGTGAAGCAAAGGTCACAGTCAATAAGACAAAAGGCAGCCTACTGAATGGCAAAATATCTTCACCAACCCCACATCAGAAAGAGGACTGATCTCCAAAATATATAAAGAACTCAAGAAATTAGACATCAAAATTCCAAGTAATCCAATTAAAAATGGGGTTCAGATCTAAACAGAGAATTCTCAGCAGAAAAAAATCTCAAATGGCTGAAAGACACTTAAGGAAATGTTCAACATTCTTAGCCATCAGGGAAATGCAAATAAAAATGACTCTGAGATACCATCTTTCATCAGTCAGAATGGCTAAGATAAAAAACACCAATGATAGCTTATGCTGGAGAGGATGTGGAGTAAGGGGAACACTCCTTCACTGCTGGTGGGAATGCAGACTTGTACAACCACTCTGGAAATCAGTTTCTCAGAAAATTGGGCCGGGCGGTGGTGGCGCATGCCTTTAATCCCAGCACTTGGGAGGCAGAGGCAGGCGGATCTCTGTGAGTTCGAGGACATCCTGGTCTACAAGAGCTAGTTCCAGGACAGGCTCCAAAGCCACAGAGAAACCCTGTCTCAAAAAACCAAAAAAAAAAAAGAAAATTGGAAATCAAATCAACCTACCTCAGAACCCAGTAGGTACTCTTATTTATTATTGGACAGATAACTCAATTTCTTTCTTTTTTTTTTTAGAGTTTAAGTTCCATTTTATTTTTCCAAGGTGTTTTCTTCTATCTTTATGAAGCCACTTTACATGGGCTTTGGTGGAGGTCGTGGTGCAGCACCAGCAGGTCTAAATCGTGGTGGGGGTGTTCGGTCCTTCCGAGTTTCCCGAGATCGATTCCTTACTACCTTGCTATGAATAGCACAGCTCACACAGTAATGCAGCTTGACATAGAGTTTGGGGAGCACATAAGCGTCGAAGACACTCGCTTCGGATATGTCCCTGATGGCAGCCGCCTCTGTGATGTTCCGAATGACGAACTTCTTGATGGCCTTGTCCTTAGGCACACAGCAGGTGCAGTTAGTGCAGCGAATTGGCTGCACGTGGCCGCGGCCCTTTTTGGCACTTCTCCCTTTTTTGGTCATCTTGGAGCCAAGTCCCGAAAGAGGCCAGATAACTCAATTTCTAAGAGAAGGCACTGTGCTAATACTAATGTCAAAAGCAGAACGTCATTTTATTTCACATGCATTGGTATGAAAACAGCACAAGGCCTTCAATGCTTTAACTCTTCTATAATACTGAAACATTATTTTCATTACAGGGAAAACCTATCTGTTGAGAGCCAGGCCAACCCAAGGCTCTCATAATACCCAATGAAAGAACAAAGAGAACATTATTTCTGTGTCCTTGCCCAGGGGCAGACTTGGCAGGGTCTGGTCTGGTGCCAGGTCTAGAGTCTCTAAGGAAGTAAGGTTTCAGTTCCTGGGAACCTAACTTTTCCTCCTGTAAAGATTGGAGTTATCAGTTCCAAGGCCCTGATGCTTGGTCTGTCTGTGATGGACTTGATACCTTGTTCTCTTTACACAATTTTGCTTGTTAGTTTCCTGTTGAATGTATCCCATTTCCTCCCGCCCCCTCCCGCATACAGTGTACATGGTGTTGAATTTCTCAAGAAACTCGCTTGTATAAACTTGTGGAAGAACTCCTGATTCCAAACTTCCCTATTTTCTTTATTATTTCTTATTCCTGCTTCTCTTTCCCATGAACTTAGTCACTAAAGAACAACCTGTTGGTCCAGGTCACTATCATTGTCTTCCTCCAGAGTATGGCTTTTTACTTTTCTTAGAAAAAAGATGAGATTAAGACATGATTATGGATGTCTATAATTCAAGGTATATGGACAACTTAACAAAACATGCTTAATATCATTAAGAAAGATATAACTTTTGAAATTTCTTATTAATGTCACATAGTTAAGAAATCCTATTAGTTTACTTCAAGAATTATATTAATATATATGTATATATATCTATATACTTTAAATATGGTATTATTTTCTTTTATCCTACTTGTAGTGAATACATTTAATCAGAAGCCCTCATACGGGGAATGCGAGAGTGGCAAATTCATTCCATTACCCCAAAGCCCCAGCACACAAGAATAAGCAATATCTTAAGGCTTTCATTTTTTACATCTTGAATTAAAATTAAGAAACAAACATGCTTTCAAATTTGGGTTCCGATGGGATGAGACTTTTTCTTCTCTCTTCTTAAAATACACCTCTTTATCCTGAAGATAGGACATATATGGTTCAGCAGTCTTTACTCTCCTAAAACTTGCTACATTTTACAGAATTATGATTTTATTATCATTTCAATTTTTACTTATTTTTGTACTCAATTATAGATTATATAAAAACAAAACCAAATGAAGATATATATTTTTAATAACCTGCTTTCTGATTCCATTTAGATGATCAGTTATCCAGGATCATGCATAAATTTTACTATTTTATGGTATGCAAAAGGATTTAACAGTCCTATGCATTTTCTTTAAGATACCTGTTTTGGCTTAAACAAACATAGCAGAGACATATACTATCTTTATTCAGCCAAAAGAAAGAAAAAAGAAAAACAAAGACTGAAAGCTTATCTACTTAAAAAACCAAATTGCTAATAAAACTTTTAATTTCAGATCTGGATAGTTTTGTAGGAAGTATCTTTAAGATTAGAGGATTTCTGAAATGGTTGCAGTGGATGCAAACATAAACTTCTGTTCCGGGAAATTAATACAGGTAAAATATTTTAACCATTTTGCAATTAATACTGGAAATACGAGTTCTGGTGAAAGTTGATTCTCTCCATAATCTGAATTTGTTTATTTGTTCTTGAAAAAGATCTTGATAGCAAGATTTAAAAAAAAATATCCCTTACGGAAGTATGTTTAAATCTTGGGTATAGTATTACAGGCCAAATTAGCCTGGTGTAGTCTGGTGGAGGCCTAAAATTCAGAGTGTTCATGAAGTATTTGGAAGTACCTTTATTAGGCTTGGAGTAGGGTAGGCTAGGGTTGAATACACATTTCCCGCCTTCCCACTCCCAAACATAAGACACAAGAACTCTTAAAAGGTGTCAGGTGAAGATATCAATTCTTTGTATAATTATTTCAGCTAATTCAATCTCCCCACTAAGAATATTTTCTGAGAGGGCATGCTCAAACACTACCTTTCCTTTAGCTGGATGACAATATCTTGAGTCGTTGAGTAGCAGGTAGCATTTTAGCTTGTCAGGGATATCGTTAGGTTGAAAAAGCATCAGTTTTCCAAAGGGTCTCTGATTTACTCTGTAGTCTTTAAACATGCTTTTGGCTTTATTTACATGTTGAGTGTTCTGCGTGCATGTATGTATGTGCACCACATGCATGACTGGTACACAAGTAAGTCAGAAGAGTTTTGGTTCCTCTGGAACTGGAGTTACCATTTTAAGCCACCATGTGGCCGCTGGACTTGAACCTGAGCCTCTGCGATAACAAGTGCTCTTAGCCTCTGAGTCACGTCTGCTGCCCCTGTATCCTTTTCTAAATAAGCAACACCAGTGTCAAAGCAAATGCTTACTATTATCATGAAGCAGTTAGAATTTTGTTAACTGCCTTCTGGAGATCAGTGTAGGAAAGTGTCAAAAACTCAGCACAGGCTGTTTCTTTTACTCCCTTTGTCACAGAAACAAGAAATGCAAGAGTCAGGGAAATGATTTACACATCCACGTTTGGAAATGGCTCTACTCAGTGCTCGGCTTAGCTGTTTGGTGGCAAACTGCAGTGCTCCGTTTAGAGTAGCATGATGTCTCGCGCACTGACTGTGACTTTTAAGGGGCTGTTGAAAAGCTGAGCCCTCACAAGAGGCCGGAGAGGGCCACTCAGGAATTGGTTCCAGTTTGGGGACACAAAGGGAAACAATGGGAGAGTCTTAGACCTGTCCCTTGAAGTTTGTGGACTGATTTTGTTCTAAGAGTTCAGCATAATACAATTAGGATTTGGGATCTAAACATTTCCAAGTTTTAGAATATTTTAAAAGATCATTAACCTGGTGGGAAAGATTCTCAAGAAGTTTTAGGTTGGGCATCTTGGGGTCTTCTTCAGAGAGATCGGTAGACCATTCTTTCTTCTTCACCTTTTGATTCTGTTAAATGATCAGGAGATGAAATTCGGGGGCCCTTCAGAACAGTGGTTCTCAACCTGTGGGTAGCAACCCCTTTAAACCCTATCTCTCAAAATATTTACCCTATGATTCATAACAGTAGCAAAATTACAGTTATGAAGTAGAAATGAAAATAATTTTATGGCTGGAGGGGTGGTCACCAAACATGAGGAATTGTATTAAAGGTCACAGCGTTAGGAAGGTGAAGAACCACTGATCTGGAACAAAATAGCATGTAAGCAGAAAAGGTGACAATTTAAGGCAGAACTCAGACCTTTACCCCTGGTAAACAGAAATAAAAACCTCTTCATGGATTTTAACTTGTCTCTCAGCCCATTACACATATAAGGCATGCCTCAGGCCCACACTGTGCAGTCCGGGAAGATTATGCTGCACACTATCCACTCACAGGGAAGTATGTTAGTCCTCAGGACCAGTTCAATGTGCAAAAGTGCTAGTCTCTTACCAGTGAACTTTCTCCCCACCTGACTCAAGCAGAGCCAAGTTCTCATCTAGGCAAGTTGATTCTCAGCAGTCTCAGCTGGGAGTGATATTATGGAGAAACTTTGGGTACTTGGTTTTGTTGGCAGGGACAATGTATCCAGTTGGTAATTAAGGACCATTAGTTGCCAGTGGAGTGACTTTGCAGTAGCTATGATCTGGTAAAAAAAACTGTCAATAATATCTGTTGTTCAAAGATCTGATGTTTTCTATAGGTAATTCAATGGCCTCTGAAATGGTGTCTCAGTAACTGGACTATCTTGAAAGGTAGCCTCAACCTGTGAACAAGACTAGAGACATGATATTAAGAACTGAATGTCCTAAGTAGCATTACCATCTAATTTTAGGGCTTTTAAGAAATGGATGCAGTTCAAGGCTTAGTTTTCTTATCTCTATCTTCTTTTTTGAGGCAGAATCTCCATTTCCCTAGAACTATGTAGAACAGACTCCCTTCTAACTCAGAGATATATCTGCCTTTGCCTCTGAAGCGCTGGGATCAAAGTGTCCCATTTCTGTTTTACAGACTAAGGGCAGTTTTGCTGTTGTGGATAACTTACAGTCACAAAACTGGCTAAGAGTTTGGGTCATTTCATTCTTTTATTAATATATAACTGAACTGGTTTGTTTTCACTCCCAAAATTATTTTGCGGAAGAGCATATCTCTTATGCCGCACTCTAAAGAATTTAGCCTTTTACCTCAGATGTGTTTGTTGGGATGTTTTACAGGGCCTGTCCTGGTAGTAGAGTTGTTAGGTGTCAAGATTCTTGTAGTGACCTCCGAAGTAGCAGTCATATAATCAATTCTGTATAGACTGTTAGGTTGTGAGGAAGCATAATGTTCATTAGCTCCTTCTATAAGGGAGACACATTAAATATAAATCTAGAGGCAAATCAAATAAAGGTAAGCTCACTTTATTTATAAACCTCTAAATGCTACTTAACTCAGGTGAGACAGTTTCATTATCAAGTAAGAGTTATCTAAGAAAGAACAGTAACTTTTTTGCATTAGTAAGGCTGACCAAACTTATGCATGACACTCTGACATATTACTGGAAATCTTAGTCAACGTTTTAAATAAATGATAATTTCACACTGGGAAATCAAAACCCTAAACATGTAATGGACAGAGGAACCAATGAGTAACATGTATCTAAAAAGACATGCTCTCAGGCAGAAAAAAACGAGTACCTGGTATCTGAAGACACCAATTTTCTGTGACCGGAAGAATAAAGGGAACACTTGCCACCAGAGCAAAACAAGGCAAAACTCTATACTTCACCTTTAAGCAACAGACAAAAACATGCTCTCAAATCTAGTTACAGTATCTACTTCATTCTGAAAAGAATACTTTGTTATTTACCTTAAGTCTGCCTTTTAGTGAGATAGGAGGGGCTGCCTTTAAATTGGCCTGTCCTTTTATAATATTGTTTTCATCTCAAATAGACTGCATCTGTAAGATTTCTCAAAGTACTCTTCAAAAGGCTAACTCAATCCCCCTTTTGAATATGTAACAAAAGAGGTGTATTAAAAGACATAAATTCTACACATACAAGTGATCCCTCTGCTATTTTTCTCTTATAGTTTCTGTATATATTTCCATATCAAAACAAATTATCCTCATCTATTCTAAACATTTTCACACATAATTTAGTTTTCAAAAATGACTGATCTAAAATCAGAATTCAACATAACTATCACGTTACTACTTAGTTTTTGTTATCTAAAGTTTGTCAAAGACATGACATTCCTATACGTATTTGTTCTTTTCTCACAGAATAAAAGTAAGAGTCAAGACCTATGTCAGCTTTACAATAATGAGATTATATTGTTTGAATTTAATAAAGCATATTAGAAAAGTTCTCATAATGCTGAATAAGTACCAAACCCATACAGTATTCATTACTAAAACCCACGACTCCAATCAAAACAGTCATACTGACCTCTAGTGGCCAGACTCACTTTATTTCACTGATGGCGAGATAGCCAGATAAAATATTGTAAAGATGCATCGTAAGACATTTTTTATCAACAAAGCAATAAAGGCAGCAAGTATCTACAAGACAGAGATATTTAAAGGCCACAAATTGTCATAAAATACTGGTATGTTCTACGTTTTAGTTTGCCAGCTTATTTTACATTAAAAACAAATGATACACACAGACTCTCATTTTATTAGCATTTATTTAAAATTTTATTTATTTTGTGTGTGGCACATGCGTGTTTAGGCCAGAGACTTAAACAGTGGGTGCTTTCACTGATTATGTCTTATTTTCTTTGAGGCAGGCTCTCAGTGAATCTGGAGCTGCTTATTTTGGCAGACTGGCTGGCCAGTGAAGTCCTGGGATCCACTGTCTCTTGCACCCACAAGTGCTGGGGTTACAGATGGGCACATCTGATTTTTATGTGGGTGCTGGGCATGTGAGTTCAGTTTCTCATGCTGTCCAGCAAGCACTTTACCCACTGACCCATCTCCCCAGCTTCTCTAGTGATCCCCAAAGTGAACAAAGTTTTTTATGTTCACCAGTCACATGAGTCTACTAAGCATCTGAAGTAGGACTAATGCAAAATAACACCCAGAGATGCAAAGTCTTAGTAAGACAAAAAAAAAAAAAGCGCGTTATCTTTTTAATAATGCATACTGGTTATATGGCTAGTGATTTTAAGCAGTAGCATCCAGGCATTCGTTCTCCGTCTTTCCTCCTCAGAATGCACATTCTTAGCTTGTTTCTTCTCCTAGTGATTAACCTGGGGTATCTTTCTCCAGCTGGACATGGTGTTGGTTTCATTCCAGGTACCTAACACCACCATAGCTATCACTTTAACCAGCAAATTGTGTACCTATCATTTTTCAGAAACTAGGAATGGAACAGGATAATTATGGCACATTCCTAGGATAAAATCTCGGGGCACCCTGTCTGTATCTCAACTTACTCATAAAAGGAGATATAAATAAAGGATTCAATGAAGTAAAGCGCTTAGAATGGTGTCTGTCACATGAAAGGGGTCAATAAATTTTGATAGTATTAGCATATATGAATAAAGTTCTAAAACAGAAGGGGTTTTATTTTTTTTTATTTTTTTAAATATTTATTTATTTATTATGTATACAATATTCTGTGTGTATGTCTGCAGGCCAGAAGAGGGTACCAGACCCCATTACAGATTGTTGTGAGCCACCATGTGGTTGCTGGGAATTGAACTCAGAACATTTGGAAAAGCAGGCAATGCTCTTAACCACTGAGCCATCTCTCCAGCCCCCAGAAGGGCTTTTAAAAAGCCAGTTGCATTTATGGGTATTTATAGATGGTTAAAACGAAAACCATTGAATACATTCATTCATTCCAACATTTACTCATGTGGATACAGGTAAAAATCTGGGAGGTAAAAATGAAAAACTTCATTCTAACAGGTTATTTCTGATAGGGGAAGGCGTCCAAGCGGCTTCGGAATGTTCGGAGCGCATTCTTCCATCTTCGCAGAGGATGCTGAGGTGCAGGGCAAGTTCTTTGAATTATGAATTAAGTTGATATAAAACAAACCGCAAGGAAAACCAAACAAATCCCAGACACGGGATTGCGGGTGAACATGAAAGACCAAGATGATCGAGGCATGAACTCCACACACAGCTACAATGCGGGTGGCACAAGCTATACAAAGGGAAGAAATGTCTGGCGAAGAAACATGAAGCCTCCAAGTGAGAAGTTAGCCTGGGGCAGCCCTCTTCCTGATACACTTCACCAACGGACACAGGACAGGAGGCTGCAGTTTTGCACATTCACCAGGCGAGGAGCCAAATCAAGTTTCCCATTTTGGAGCCATTCCTTGGGAGATAATTTTATATAATAACCAGTGCGTGCCTTCGCCAGGACCCCAAAGTCCTTTTGCACAGTCTGCGTTCTCCTCCGTCGGGAAGAGTTGTTACGCAGGCGTGTGAAGTAGACCCGGGAAGCTGGAGCATCTCCGAGCCGCTGCAGACTACCTTTACCCCGCCTTTCTCTACCAGATCGACCTCAGGAAGCCCTGACTTTCCCAACCCCCCGAGCGCGCCCTCCCCGACTCCCTCAAACGTCCCCTTCGCTCCGGTTCCTGTGCCAGGCAGCAGGATTGGAAACCGCGTTCTCATTGCGGCGGGTCTTCTCTACTTTCTCATCTCCCGAGCAGACTACACCGGCGCCACCGCTCCGCGCAGAAAGTTGAACGCCAGCGTCAGCTCGGCTCCTTGACGACGACACCACTTCCGGCCACGCCCACGCCGAATCTTCACAGCGGGCCAACCCCTCGGCGCATGCGTGCTAGCAGCGGCAGTTCAAACAGGGGACTGATCGGAGAGTCTGTTGTCTCTCTCGGCTTCCGGGTCCCGCCTCTCGCGAAAATCACGCTGAGTCTCGCCCTCTCGCGAGACGTGTTTCAAAACTGTGGCGGCAACCGCTTCCCGGAGGCTCGCTCACCGGTCGTGCGCGTTTGTCATCTGGCGCCATGGCGGCGGAGAAGAAGCGGCTTTCTGTGAAGGAGGCTTTTCGGCTGGCGCAGCAGCCGCACCAGAACCAGGCGAAGCTGGTGGTGGCGCTGAGCCGCACGTACAGCGCGGTAAGCGGCCTAGCCTCGGCGCCGGCGCTCCCCCTCCCCCGCCGCCACCTCCCCCCACCCCCGCCGCCCCCCGCTCAGCCTTTTGCATTTGCGCGACCCGCGTCGGGGTGACCCGGACTCAGGTGCTCTGAGGCTTGCCCGTGATCTCCTGGTCTCCAGCCAGTGATCGCGACTCCGGGCATCGTCCACGGCGTCTTCCTTCAGTTTTCTCCACCCCCTTCCCTGGTGCCCCGGAGGAGCGATCCGTTATCCTTAGTTTGGCAGTGACTTGGAGACGCTGGGTTGCGAATTTCAGACGTCCTATTTTCCTTTGGGGTTTCTGGTTCATCGTAAGAAATCCGACTGTGTTATTTCAACCAACTCCTAAGCTTAAAATCCAATTCATTTCACCAAATATTAGAACCTAGCCTTTCCTAGTTATGCTAATTGTTCATCGCCTGGAGCTGTGAGCGAATTTGAGACCGATCAATTATTTTGAAGTTCGAGAAAAGTAAATACGAACGTGATTAAGGATATGGACTAGGTTGCGGAAGTTAGACTAAAAAGAAATTCCTGGATATTAGGAAGGCCTAAATAAAATGAGTTATTCTTGCCGAAAGTTTGTGTTGCATTAATATGGTAAGAAAAACATTGAGAATCCAAGAGGTTTGAAAGAAAAACAATCAAAATTTATGCTTTCTACTTTCTCAGAGGTGCAGATTATATGCTGAAGAGATGTTTTGGCAGATTTATTTCCCCTTTTCTTGGTTTGGATAATTGAGAGTTTCCTAAAAATGATTTTAGTTTGCCCTAAGGCCAAAGCTTTCAGCAATGTTAACAGTAGTGTGGGGAATAAAGAATCTTCATTACTGCAGCTTATGGAGCCGTTTCTTCCATCTTTCAGGGGGATGATAAAACAGCTTTTCAGGAGGAGTTTGTTCATTACCTTAAATATGCCCTGGTGGTATATAAACGCGAGCCTGCTGTGGAGAGGGTTGTCGACTTCGCTGCCAAGTTTGTTACTTCATTTCACCAGTCTGATCAGGAAGAAGAGGAAGAGGAAGATGGTGGCATTTTAAATTATTTGTTCACTTTTCTATTAAAGGTACTGTGAAAACAGTACTTTGGGGGAAGTAATGAAGAGAATTTCTCGATGGTGTTTGTCATTTTCCACAGTGAAATACCAGTGGTAGAGGAAATGTATGAGAATAAGTCTTTTATAGGAAATCTTGACTGTCATTAAGCTGAAAGGGTAATTCTAGTTGTTGAGTTGTTAACTGCCTGTTTAAATTCTCATGTTTGTTGTGAAATTTTTCTGCCTGGAAGTAAAACATTCCTACAGAGAAGAATATGCTTACTTTTTTTAGTATAGCAATATTTTTTGAGACCACTTGAGATTATATTGACTATTTAGAACGGAATGTGACTAGGAATAACTTTTTATTTGTTTTTGTGTAGTCTCATGAAGCAAACAGCAGTGCAGTCAGATTTAGAGTATGCCAGCTCATTAATAAGCTTCTGGGGAGTATGCCAGAAAATGCCCAAATTGATGACGACCTGTTTGATAAAATTAATGAAGCCATGCTTATTAGATTGAAAGATAAGATTCCAAATGTGAGAATACAAGCGGTTTTGGCTCTCTCTCGACTCCAAGATCCCAAGGATGATGACTGCCCAGTAGTTGATGGTATGTATGGTTTCCTAAATCTTATTTCAGTATTTGGATTTGATGTGTGCATGTATACTTGTGTGTGGGTGTGTATAATCACATGGAAGCCAGAGGTTAGAGTCAGCTGTTTACAGTTGATAGCATCTCTCATTACATCTAGAGTTCATCTATTCAGACTCATTGGCCAGCAAGCCCCAGGAATCTTGTCTCCTTGTCCCCAGTACTAAGATCCTAGGTTCTTGCCACTATGCCCGGTTTTTCATGGGTTTGGAGATTGGAATGGAACATCAGGCTCATGCTTGTACAGCAAGTACCCATCTCCCTAACTGAGCATTGAATTTTTACTTATTCATTATTTATGTCTTTATGTGTTAAGGATAGAGAATAAGGAAGAATCAACCCAATAATTTAAAATGAGAACATATTATCAATACTTTTAACTTTGCCTTGCTCTTACTCCAGTTGTATCCCTTTCTCAGAGATGGTGATAATTACAGTGAATTTTAGGTTAATTGCCCTATTTGCCTGAAAAACTAAACTTTAGACAATTAGTGTTTGTTTCAGTGTTAAATTTTGTCTGCTATTTTTTGATGGACCATACTACATTTTTGTGTCCTTTTTTCCTTCAAAATTATTTCTAGTTTTAGCGTGGTATATTTTTTTCTACTCTATTTTAATGTTTTATGGAGTTTATTCTGCATTTTATTGGCCCCTCTAGTTGTTTGCAATTGCTTTGCTTTAAAACAATGCTAGAAGCAGGGTGTGGTGGTGCCATGCCCTTAGTCCCAGCATGCTGAGGCAGGCAGATCTCTGAGTTTGAGGCTAGACTATGGAGTGAGTTCCAGGACAGCCATGGCTACACAGAGAAACCATATCTTGAAAAACCATACCAAGCCAACGAAACAAAAACCCCCATGTTAGGATTTTTATACATGGCTTCGGTGCATAGATGAAAGGGTTTTGTAGAGTTATACTTAGAGATAGGCTTATAGGCCCCACTTTATTAGACTAGGTGGAATAGTCTAAAAAATGATTTACTTATTAATAGTCTCAGTAATGGGGCATGAAAGTATTCATTGACCCATATCCTCTTTAGTTTCATCACATTTTAAAATTTGATGCCTTATCTAGTATATGTTATTGTTACCCATCTTCATAAATTTATCATGTGATCATCATGAGTTGCTTAATATTGGTGGTACAATTTGAGAAGTATTACTGTAAGTGATTTTTTGTAACACTGTAGCGTGTACTTGGACAAATGGATTGTAAAGTTCAATCACTCAGTGTGACTTCTGGTGCAGTCAAAAGTTCCACTAAACATGTATGAGATTACTGCCAGTATATTTGATATACTCTTGTATAGTCAAGTTTTTTTAAATAAATAGGAGTACACTCAAACAATTGTAAAAGTATATTAAACACATGAATTTATTACAGCCACTTATCAAAGTTAAAAGTGTAAAGTCAAATGTGAACCTTCATAACTTCCCTTCTGAATAACTATTCTAACTGTATAGAAGTTCATTGAGTTGTATAGTCTTTGGGTTTGGTTCTTTTTTAATTTTGGGATGTGATTTTGGGATAGGTAACATTTTTATAATAAAGTTTAAAATAAATCAAAATAATAGGTCCTTATAGAAAACCATATCAACTTAAAATAAGTTGCCTGCTCTAATCATCTCCTGACTTTTGAGGCTGTTTTCCCTTTTAATCTCCAGTTACAGTATGTTAAATTTTAATTCCATTATCAGAAAGTTATTGAAATTTTTTTCCTTTTTGGCTAAAAATGACTATATAAGAGTAGTATATGGTCTCTCTGTTATTTAAAAAATGAAATATCAGAATGTGGACATATCTATGACTTAAAGAACAATTTTAATATTAAAATGTATTACTTTATTTTTAGCGTATGTTACTATGATAGAAAATGATTCAAATTCAGAAGTTAGACGTGCAGTGTTATCCTGTATTGCACCATCAGCAAAGACTTTGCCAAAAATTGTGGGGCGTACAAAGGATGTAAAGGAGGCTGTCAGAAAGCTGGCTTATCAGGTAAATAAGTTAAACATCTTCAGAAGGCATGTTTTTGAAAATGAACCAATTTATGGCATTTTGGAAAAATCTTGGTAGCAATGATTTTTTTTTTCCAATTAGGACTTTTGAAGAATATAGGTAATTTAGGTAGAGTATTATTGTATTAAATGGGTTAACTTCCTGAATAATACAGTATTCATAAGTAAGATATCTCTAAAGTGTATTGAGATTAATGGCTATCTTTTACCTTTTTAAGGTGTTAGCTGAAAAAGTTCATATAAGAGCTATGTCCATTGCTCAGAGAGTACTGCTTCTTCAACAAGGTCTTAATGACAGGTCAGGTAAGATACACATTTTTGTAAGTCAGATTTGACGTTAATAAAACTATCATTTCCATAAATTTGATGAAACATTTTGAGGTTAAAGGCCTTGGTATTTTGAAGGAACAAGGCATTTTTTTTAGACTTCTCTGCTTTAGGGAGGGGAAGACTGTTCTAAATTCTATGTGGTTGCTTTTTTCAGAAGTCTGACAGAATCTTTCCTTTTATCCTGTCTTTTCTTAGACAGTATTATTGTGATTCTCTGTACTACATAAATGTGTTGTGTGCATAGAAACAACAGGAATGAGCAGCCCTGTCTAATAGCCCACCCTTCTTATAGGTCAAACTGGAAGATCTCCTTGTATGAAAGATGTTCTAACAATTCTTGGTTGGCTCTCATGAAACATTACTCTCAGTTTTGCTGTACGAAGAAAGCAAACTTGAGTTTGTGAATATTGTCAGAGCACTGACGGTGCTTTTAAGTCAGCAACTCTCAACCTGTGGGGCACAACCTCTTTGGGGGGCTGAAAACAAATCTTTACATTATAATTCATAACAGTAGCAAAATTACAGTTATGAAGTAGCAGTGAAAATAATTTCATGTTTGGGCGTCACTCCGACATGAAGAACTGTATTAAAGGGTTGTAGAATTAGGAAGGTTGGGAACCACTGCCTTAAATGATACAAATAAAATTTGTTTAGTAAAGTATGTTGTGATTTCAGTACTGCAAGTTGAATTCATATAATAGAAGTCAGCAAGTGAAGTAGTAGATTTCTTATATTCTGATGCTTGATATTCAGTGAGGAGGCAATATAAAGGATTTTTTATTCGGCTATATAGGAGTTAGGTTTTTACTGCTGAACTCCCATATGTATTTTGAAATAGGCATTATCATGACTTAGTAATTCTGCATCTTTTGTTAACATGCTTTGTTCTACCTATAGTCTGTTTGTATTGTTAATATCAGTGTTAACATTGACTCAATAAAAGTTAATTAAAATGGGGATAGTGGGGGAAAGTCTAGAGTGTACATTGTTTACCTGTCTGAAATGACTCCCCAGATGCTGTGAGACAAGCAGTGCAGAAGCATCTTCTCCAAGGCTGGCTGCGCTTCACCGAAGGAAATATCTTGGAGTTACTTCATCGGTTAGATGTGGAAAATTCTTTTGATGTGGCAGTCTCTGTTCTTAATTCCTTATTCTCAGTGACTCCTCTCAGTGAACTGGTCGGAATCTGTAAAAGCAATGATGACAGGTATATAATAAAGTATTTAAATCGAGCTTCCACAGTTATAATTGGTTTTCCCTCCTTGTACTTCCAAATTTCATCAGTACCTTTTATCTGTCCCTTGTTTCTTTAATGAATGTCTTTTTTCTCTTTGCTACAAGAACTCATTATTTTTTGTCAACTACCGCTTCATTTGTGCCCTTTCATTTTGTAATTTTATTTTTGTATTACATTTACTGTGAAAACATCCCTAAATGTACATTCTTGTCACATTAAGCTTATTTGAAGCATTTTAAGTTTCTTTTAATAATTTTTTCGATGGGTCATTTATTGACTTAGTAATTAAAATACTTAGTTATTGAAGGAAATCTATACTTTATTCCCATTTTTGTTCTGCTTTCCAACTGCCCGTAAAAATAATGCTCTCTTATTCTCTTCTAAATGAAGGAAGTTGATTCCAGTGGAAACATTAACTCCTGAACTTGCTTTGTATTGGCGCACCCTTTGTGAATATTTGAAATCAAAAGGAGATGAAGGTGAAGAGTTTTTAGAGCAGATTTTGCCAGAGCCTGTAGTATATGCAGAGTATTTACTGAGGTAAAATTTTTCTTTTGGTTTGAACTGTACTTACATTGCTGATGTGCCGATCTCATAGCCCTCTTATTTAAAGTCATCGTTGGAAAAAAGTTTTTAAAAAAACTGTTGTATTCAAGTAGGTATAAATGGGTGTGTTCCTTGAGTGTTTCTCACGAGTCTGTTGTGTGGTTAGTATATTGAATGTGTGTGTATACTATCCCTGTCTCAGTGACTCAACATTAGCAGCTGATTAGTGTGGCTTTCCCTGATAAAACTTTTTTTCTTGATTGAATTTTATCTAATATTCACATATGATGAATTTTTTCCCCACAAGATAGGGTTTTGCTGGAGTTTTAGAGCCTGGCCTGGAACTAGCTCTTGTAGACCTCTTGTGGCCTCGAACTCACAGATCCACCTGCCTCTGCTTCCCGGGTGCTAGGATTAAAGGCGTGCGCCACCACTGCCTGGCCATGATGAAATTCTTAAAAATTATTTTGAAGCACGAGTAATAAAAACTCAGAGAGAGAAATTGGGGTTCAGCCTGAAGGTCAGAAAAGCAAAATAGCCAGCCACTGGCTCTTACCTCTATCTCAGTCTGAAAATGGTGATCCTGCCTCCAGGAATCTCAGAACGAGACTGACTCATCAAGCTATCTCCTCCCATTTTATAATCCTCTCTAGTTCTGGGATTAAAAGTGTGTACCACTGTTTCTGGTTTCTATGGCAAGCTAGTGTGTCTGCTGGGATTAAAGGAGTGTGTAATTGGTGGCTGGTTTTACTTTTCTGATCCTCAGACAAGTTTTATTTATTAAAATACAAGTGAAGTGCCACTACATTGTTCTTTGTAAGCTGTACAAAAACAGGTATGATGGTTAGATTTGGTGCATGGATTACTGTCAGAATCATAGGATAGTAATATATGGCTAGTTTTAGTTTAATGTCTTTTTTGATTAATAATACACTAAATAAAACAACTTTTAAAATTTTGTTTTCCTAAATTATCTGTCTTGACTAATTCTATGTCAACTTGACCTCAGCATTTTGGGAGAGGGAACCTTAATTGGAGTAATGCTCCCACTAGATTGGCCTGTGATGGTCCATTTTCTTGATTGATGGTTGATTTGGAAGGGCATAGCTTACCATTCTTGGGCTGGTGGTCCTGGTTCTATAAGAAAACAGGCAGAGCATGCCATGGGGAACAAGCATTTCTCCATGACCTCTACATCAGCTCCTGCTGCTAAGTTCCTGCCCTGTTTGAGTTTTTGATGTAACTTGTTTGAGTGATGGACTGTAGTGTGAAACAGGAAATAAACCATTTCTTCCCCAAGTTGCTTTTTGTCATGATGTTTTATCATAATAGACACCCAACTAAGACAATATAATTTCTATTTCACTGTAAAATTATATTAAAAAATACTTAAAATTCAAATGTAGAGGTAAATTTATTCTTTTATCCCCAGTCCCCATCAATCATTGTAGAGTTAACAACGAAATATTAGAGTGTGCATTTTCAAATCTTTTTCTCTACATGTTTTAAATGCACATGTAAGTTTCCTTTTGAAAATAGAGCATATTTTACACACACACACACACACACACACACACACACACACACACTGTTTTCTGGGTTTTTTTTTTTTTTTGACCTGTATATAAAATCATTATTTGTAGGTATGTGGTATTACAACACTATTTTGAGTGCCTTGTGTGCTTTGTAAGTGCACTTCCCCTGAGTTATATCTACTTTATTCTACTTATTTTAGTTATGTCCAGAGCTTCCCAGTAGTTAATGAAGAACAGAGAGGTGATTTTACCTACATTGGAAATTTGATGACAAGAGAATTTATATGTCAGCAATTGATTCTTATTATAAAATCTCTGGATACCAGTGAAGAAGGAGGAAGGTATGTCTAAATGTTAACTTTTGATCAAATTTCTTTTAATTTCATTTATTTAGTAACCTACCTTGGTTTAATTTTTTTTTTTTTTTTTTTTTTTTTTTTTTTTGGATTTTTTCAAGACAGGGTTTCTCCGTAGTTTTTTGGTTTCTGTTCTGGAACTAGCTCTTGTAGACCAGGCTGGCCTCGAACTCACAGAGATCCGCCTGCCTCTGCCTCCCGAGTGCTGGGATTAAAGGAGTGCGCCACCACCGCCCGGCTTTGGTTTAATTTTTAAAAGATAATTCTGATTTTAATTTTAGTGTAACTATAAATGATGATGATCTATCCTCTGGTTAATCAGGCTTTTTTTTTTTTTTTTTTTTGGTTTTTCGAGACAGGGTTTCTCTGTGGCTTTGGAGCCTGTCCTGGAACTAGCTCTTGTAGACCAGGCTGGTCTCGAAGTTAATCAGGCTTTTTAAAGAATAATTTTTATTGAATAATTTCATACCCCTCTCAAGACTCTTTCCATTCCTTTTGATTCTCAACATGTTCCTTCTACCCTGAGCTCCTGCTTCCCCATTATGGGCAGCATTCCACAAAGTGCACTCCAGAAGAAAAATGATTCTCCCTCCCCTAGTAGCTATCTACTGTGGTAGCTTCTCAGCTGGGGAGTGGTGGGATCAAAGGAGCCCTCACCCCATCTGCACTGGAATGTTGGCTGCAGGTCACCTGCAGATAACCACAGCTGCCATGAGCTCATGAGTGTAACAGCCAAGTCTTGTCTAGAGGGCAGCTGGGCAGCTTATTACTCTCTTAACTCCCTGGCTAAATCCCTACGTTTAAATACAATTTGTTACAGTATGACTAGATCTATCTAATCTAAAAGTGCTATAAAATTTTCTCTTTCCCATTTCTGTATATTGAAACATATTTATACACATAGTTAGTTAATTAATGCCAGGGTTTAATCTGAGAAATGTGTTAGGTGATTTTGTTGGTGTACAAGCGTAGTATATAAATTTAGATGTTATAGGTTAATTGTTCATTGTGGTCTTTTGGTATATAATTAGAAGATGACAAAGTATGTATGAGGTTGTTGCAAATATAACTTTCATAGTAGTAGTATGCTGAGTATACGCTATGGTAAAGGTAAAGATTACCATATAATTATGATAATTATATAAACCAGTAGCAGTCATTTAACATTAAGTATGATGTGTTGTATATAATTGCATATACTATACTCTTACATGTATGGCAGTTTATGTTTGTTTACACCAGCATTACTAGAGAAATGGCATTTATATACAGCATTATTAGGGTTATTAAGCATTTGATATATAATGATTTTTATACTCTATAATGATTTTCTGGGACTTCCATTGGGTATGTGGCCTAATGTTTACTCAAACATCATTATGTGGCACATGATTGCATATGTATGCATGTTTCTGTGGGTATATATGTATATAATCCTAGTATAATTCCTCAGAGTAAGTAATTTCCAAGTTTTTGGTTTAAAATATTTATTGCAAAGAGAGCAAGTAGTGTTATCTAGAAGATTTGATTCACCCCCCCCCCAATTTTTGTTAATTTAAGATCAAGGTATAAAAATATAATTTATATGTGTATTTTTAAATCAGTTGGAGAATATGAGGGTTTTTTTTTGGTTTTTTTTTTTTTTGAGGGTTTTTTTTTAACCTAAAGTTTGTATGTATGGAGTTTTATACATATATTTGTAAACAGAAGTAAAAACTAAAACAGATGTAAAGAGAAGTGTTAGAGAAAATGTATTTTCAATTGGCAAGATGGCCCAGGGGTTAGGTGCTTGCTGTCAAACCCGATGACTTTCATTTGATTCTCGGAACCCTCAGGGTAGAAGGGGAAAACTAATTCCTGTAATTTCTTCTCTGATCTCCACATTCAGTTCTAGGCATGTGCCCTCCCATGTATGCACACAGAAAATAAAGAAAAAATGTTTAAAAATATAAATAATGTATTTTGTCGGAGTGGTAGTTTAAAAAGATCTTTTTGATTACAGGAAACGACTGCTGGCTATTTTGCAGGAGACTCTTACACTGCCTACAACTCCAATTTCCTTAGTTACTTTTATTGTTGAGATACTCCTCCACATCATCTTAGATGATAATAAAAGGATACAGATTGTAAGTGTTTTTCTTTTTGATATAGTTAAGAAACTTTGATCAGTGACATCCAAGAGTCACAATTTCTCTTTAGCACCCTTGCCTTTGATTGTTTTAGTGTTGTCCAACATGTTGCAAAAAGGAAGAAGAGCACGTTTTTCTTACAGTTTAAAACACTTCTTTACTTAGCATGCCTGTTGAATCAATGCAGCAGGTCTGGGAGGAGGGAACAATTGGGATGAGGTTTTATTTGTAATTATTGGGAACTAGTGTGTTGAAGGAAGACTTGAGCTATGTATTCCTCATTTGTAGTGTTGGGTAAGTTTTTAGCCTTATTTTACTTATCTGCAAAACCTTTTTTTGTGCAAAACCTTTTTTTGTAAAAAACTTGATGTATGCTTAGTAATGCTCATAAAGTGTTTGATAGATACACAAGTCTGTTGAATATGCTATAGTAGTTCCAGAAATGAGGTCTAACCCCTTGGAGAAAGTTAGCAAAAAGAAATACATTTGTGTTGTCCAGATCTCTCCTTACATATTTTTTTAGCTTTTTTTTCATATTTTTTATTAAAAAATTTATTTTTTATTTTACATGTCAGCCCTAGCTCTCCCTCCCCTCCACCTGCCTCCCTCCCCTCCCCCTCCCCATCTTCCTATACCAATTCCTAATTAGTAGTTATCTAGGATTTCCTTATTCAGATGGGAGGCACTTTTTTTCTGAACTAGTGAATTCCAAGTGACTCTGAAAGGAAAGTCATTATTATCATTGCTTATTGCTTATATATTGTGTACTAAAGGAAGAAAAAAAATGTTTCTTTTTTTTTTTTTTAATTTAACTTCCACAGAACTGAAGGAGTTAAAAATTTTAGATTATAGAGAGTAATCTTAGGGAACAATAATTCAGTTTTTCTACTTTTTAAATACTGCATTAGTGATAATTTGTCTTTAGTATCCATATGACTTAAATTATTACTTTTTAGTCAAATAATACATCTGATTAAACTGTTAAGTTCTTTTGTTTGCTCATTTGGCTTTTTTTTTGTTTTTATTTTTATTTATTTATTTATTTTGAGATAGGGTTTCTTTTTGTGTCGTCTTAGCTGTCCTGGAACTAGCTCTGTATACCAGGCTGGTCTTATACTCACAGAGACCCTCTTGCCTGTACCTCCAAGTGTGGTGATACCTTGTTTATATAAATAAAGCTTGCTGCTAGTTAACCATATCACTTCCTGTCTGTCTGTACAGACCTCCAGACCTCTGTTGTTAGCTAGTGACTAGCTCTACCCTCTGATTTTCAGGTAAGCTTTATTTTTACAAACAAGATAGTACCACATTTGAAAAATGCACACGGAATTGTGCCAGAAGAAGCACTTGGGGCAGTGACTGCCTGAAGGCAGAGCCAGTCAGTCTAGGTAGGGTAAGTCCTGTGGCATTTGGAACTCAGGTGCCTGTGGAGTTTGGACTGTGGAGTTTGTTGCAGAGAGCCTGCAATAACAGCAATGACAAAAATCCCAAACTTGCTTAGATGCTTAGGGACTAAGAGTGAAGAACCTAGCCATCTTGGTGGTGACTCTAGCGGGAGCGGCTGCAAAGCCATAGATAAGCGACTCGTTTGTGTCCCACATTGGGTGCCAAAATGTAGCATGAGTTCTAATTGGTGTTAATAATAAAAGCCAAGAGTCAGATATAGGGTCAATGCTGAGAGATGAGAGAGATGAAGAACCAAACCATAGCCACCTTTCCTACTTAGCGTCTCAGCAGAAAAGAGACTGAACTCCAATCTCCTCCCGCCTTATCACTTCCTCTTTGTCTGTACAGACCTCCAGAACTCTATGGTTAACTAGTGACTAGCTCTGCCCTCTGATCTTCAGGCAAACTTTATTTGTACAAACAAGATAGCACCACACCCAAATTCTGGGATTAAAGGCATGTGCTACCACCACCTGGTGATTATTCCAGTCTTATTGTTCGATCTTTGTATTAGTTGCTGTGTTGTTGCTATGGCCAAATGCCTGTTGTAATGGTTACTCATATCAACTTGTCAAGATTTAGAATAAACTAGATGACAGACCTAGGTATGTTTGTGAGACAGTTTCTAGATTGGGTTAGACATGATGACACCATTTTATGGGCTAGATGACAGACCTAGGTATGTTTGTGAGATAGTTTCTAGATTGGGTTAGACATGATGACACTATTTTATGGGCTAAGGTTCTGAGCTGACAGATTGTAAACCAGCATTCACTTTGCTTTTTGATGCTAGTACAATGTGACTGCTTCATTCTCTTTTTTTCATTCCCTCCCCTCAGTGGTAGACTGTTAGTTTCACACTGAACCAAAACGAATGGTTCCTTCCTTCAGTTGTTTTTGTCCCAGCAATAAGTAACTAATACAAGTGTCAAGAAGCATGGGGAGGAAGTGGGGGAAGGGAAAGGAGAGAGGGAGGAGGGTTTGTTTTTCCTTGATGGTACAGTCTGTCTTGATGGGAAGTCATGGTGCTGAGAAAGAGATGAGGCGATTGGTCAGTCACATTTTGTCCACAGAAAGCAGAGAGGCGAATCTGATGCTCAGTTAGGTTGTTACTTCTTTTTGGCTTTTTACTCAGTGTAGCTCCCTAGACTGTGGGATAGTAAGGCCCACATTTAGATTGTGTCTTCCCTCAGTTAAACCTCTTCAAAAATTCCCTTACTGACATGTCCAAAGGGGTGTCTCCTAAATGATTCCAAGTATAGCCAGGTTGGCGGTGTAGATTAATTAACATTTGCAGGCTATCTCTTCTCAAGCACAGTCACTTTACAGGCAGTTGTTCCAGGCAGGTAATGTTGATCTTTTATTGCATCTGTATTACTGGGCTGTTCACCGAAAAGAGTCACCATCTTGGGGAGTATCTGCAAACACCCACGGTGACTATCAGGTGATACCAAGTCCAATCAAGTGGACAAGATGAACCAGCACAGTCTTAGGATTGTGTAACAAATGAGTATGTATGACTTTATCTAATTCTTCTGCTGTCTTTCAAAGATGAAATTTGCTTGTCAAGATGACAATTTGATGTAGTGTAGCTGTTTGTTATCATTTGCTTGTTTAAACATGGATTACAGTTTGTATTTTGAATTACTGCTATCAGGTCACAGAAATTATCTCAGAGATTCGTGCACCCATCGTTACTGTTCGTGTTGATCCATCTGATACTAGAAAAAAGGAACTCAAGGTAAGTCTCTTCTAAATCAAAGATATGCTTTAGTGATGTCCTTGTTGCCTCCTGCTAGACTTCTCAGAAATATTCTCATCAAATCAAGTCTTTAAGTGTTATACTCTAAGGGTATGCAAATCATTACCAGATTACAACAGATTTGCTGATCTGTGTTTCAGGAAAATGAAATCTTATATTTGACTGCTTGAATCCTGAGTCTTTTTGATATTGTGACAAATTTTCATGTTAATTTTTGTGTCTGATCAATTTCTATCTTTTTTTAGATGGCTGAAATAAAAGTTAAGCTTATTGAGGCTAAAGAAGCTTTGGAAAATTGCATTGCTGTACAGGATTTTGACCAGGCATCAAAATTAAAAGAAGAGATAAAAACTTTGGAAGATGCCAAAATAAACCTGCTAAAAGAGACAGAGCAACTTGAAATTAAAGAAGTTCACACAGAAAAGGTATATACCATTTTTTTATACTAAATTTTAACTAGTATTATATCAACAAGCTTATTTTCTTTAATTCATTAAACTACCCAAATGTATTTACTTTGGAGGGAGTTGTGACAATACCATGAATTAAAATGAAAAGAAAACTTTAATTTTGAAACTTTTGTTTTATATTTTTAGACTTGTGATGTTTGAACCACCTCTTTACATAGCCCTGACTGGCCTGGAACTTGCTTTGTAGACCAAGCTGGTCTTGAACTAATGGAGATCCTCTTGTCTATGCCACCACACCACACCAGACATTTTTGGACTTTGAAAAATACCTTTAATTTTTATAGCTAGGACTTGTTCCTTTGTCATGTTTAATTTGAATACGTTCTTCCTTCTCAGAAAACTAGTCCTCTAGTGATTTCCTTAGGCCTTTTTATTTATTTTCCGTGAATGGTTTAAAAAGGAGTTGCATCTATCTTTCCCTTTTGTGAAAGGAGGTCCATGACCTTTTTATTGTTAGGATAAAACATCTTTGGTGAAGAAGTACTTATCTTCTTTGGTAAATGGATATTTGTGTAGTTAGAAAAAAAACCAAGCAGCTTTGTTTGTTTTTTTTTAAAATTTATTTATGTGTATGAGTATTTTGTTTGCATGTGTGTATGTGTATTGTGTATTCCTGGTGCTCTTGGTGGTCAGAAGAGAACATTAGGTTCTCAAGAACTAGAGTTTTAGATGGTTACAAGTTGCTATGTTAGTGCTAGGACTGGATCTGGTCCTCTGCAAGAAGAGCAAGTACTAAGAACCACTGAATATCTTCCCAGTCACAACTTTGTTAGTTATTTTTAATGAAACACTTGATATTTAGTAATATTTGAAGTTTTTCTATTTTTTAACTTAGTCATTTGACAAATTCTCTTAAAAGGATTATGTCTTTGGTCATCAATTTATTTTAGCATATGATAGAATGTATCAGTTTGTGTGTTTTATGTTTTTAAAGATCTTGTCTTTGTATTGAATATGCTTATAATTGCACTTATTTTTGTTTGTTTGTTTTTTGTTTTTTGTTTTTGTTTTTGAGAAAGGATTTCTCTGTGTAACGTTCTTGGCTGTCCTGGAACTCGCTTTACAGACCAAACTGGCCTCAAACTCGCAGAGATCTTCTGCCTCTATCTTCCAAGTGTTGTGATTAAAGCAATGCACCACCACCACCTGACTATAATTGCACTTTTGATTTGGGTAGTGCTTAAGACAGTGCTGAACAAGCAAGCGTACTGTGTATGAGAGTTCTAGAATTAATTGTGCATCTTTAACTCCCTAGTTATAAACATATGCTAACCTGACACTTCTCCTTTCCAGTGAGAATGTCTCATTTATTTTTATGGTCAGTAGCTTATTTATAGTCTGTAGCTTATCCTAGCCTATTAAATTTGAGACAACAATAATAACAACAACAAAATTTAAAACAATACAGCCGGGTGGTGGTGGCACATGCCTTTAATCCCAACACTTGGGAGGCAGAGGCAGGCAGATCTCTTGAGTTTGTGGCCAGCCTGGTCTACAAGAGCTAATTCTAGGACAGGCTCCAAAGCTACAGAGAAGCCCTGTCTTGGGAAACCAAAAACAAGTAAGTAAGTAAATAAATAAATAAAATTTCAAATTAAGAAACTGTTTGAAAAAGTGTGATGGTGTGTATCTGTAATATTAGTGCTTTCAGTCCTGGGTCAAGGCCATCTTGGGCTATGTAAGTGAGGCCCTGTTTTAACAAATCCAATGGAGAGGTAACTCAGTAATGAGAGTGCCTGCCTAACACATGGAAGCCCTAGATTTGATTCCTAGCCCTGTCCCAACCCCACCTGCTTTTTCTCCCCAAAGATAAGGAAAGCATCTGTAAAAGTGGTCTGCCTGATTAATAATCTTTTGACTTCTTTGAATATTGAGTGTCTTTTTGTCTTATTTGGGAGCCATGGCTATTATAATTCTAATGTAATAGATGTTGTGATATCAGGAAACCGGAAACTTTATTGAGAAATGTGTATATGTAAAATGCTACTGGTTTCCCCAGAGGAAGAAGTAGATTAGCCTGAGATGTGAAGAAATTTAACTTGCTCGGCTTTTCTTTGTTATGAGACACTAGCTAAGAAAACAGTTGGGAGGGAAGGAGGATGTTTTTGTTGTTGTTTTTGGTTCATCGTTCAGAGGTTTCTACATATTAGGGTTGAGAGGATGTGGTAGAATAGAGTGGCTCCTGTTGTGTGATGTGTTACTCTTTTTACTCTTTCGGGGCCCCACCACCCAACTCCCACATAAATTACACATGGAGGCTTATTCTTAGTGAGAATGTCCAGCCTTAGCTTGGTTTATTTCTAGACAGCTTCTCTTAACTTAAGTATCCTGATTACCTTTTGCCTCTGGGCTTTCTCCTTTTCTTACTTCTGTCTATCTTACTTTCACTCTGACTCCATGGCTGGCTGGGTGGCTGACCCCTGATGTCCTCTTCCTTGTTGCTCTTTCTGTTTATTCTCTCTGCCTGCCAGCCCCTCCTATCCTTCCTCCTACCTCGCTCTTGGCCATTCAGTTCTTTATTAGATCATCAGGTGTTTTAGGCAGGCAAAGAATCACAGTTTCACAGAGTTATATATAACACAAACAAAAGCAATATATCTTTACACCATTAAACAAATGTTCCACAGCATAAACAAAAGTAACACATCTTAAAATAATATTCCCCCAAAGGCTCCCATCCTGACTGACAGGGAGCCAAAGGCCTAAGCTGTTTTTTCCTTTCCTGCCTTGTATTCTTGTTCAGGCTTCTACTTTGTGGGTTGGTGCCACTTGTATTCAGAGTGGGTCTTCCCTTCTTTGTCTTTGAAAAAACCCTCACAGATACATCCAATGATGTGCTTTACTAATGTTTACTAGCTGATTCTCAGCCTAATCCAAGTTGTTACAAGGTTAATCATCAGTCATAGTACAGACTAACAAATTAAAGGACGGTTTTTCTGTAGTAAGCTAGTTGGGTGATTATCCCTTCAAGTTCTTTACAAATGTGAATTCATTATTCTAATTGCTCCCCAAATCCTACTATCTTTCAAACCTAAATAGTTAACTGTGAATTTATACGTTTAACACACTTTGTCTTGTCTCTCCTTAATGAGTAGTTAAGGAAATGTAGATGTTGTAATGATATGTTTGATGACCCAGAGTTTAAAAAAGGTGCTTGTTTTACTTCAAAACTTTAGGTTTACATGGAGACAGGATTGGATAGAAAATAGATAAATCAGAGGAACTATTAAGAACCAGATAAATGAAAGGCCTCCGATAGTCAATATTAAAAAAAAACTACATTATTCAGAGATGATGGTGGATACAGGGATATTTTAAAGTGTAGGATGAGTACTCTGTCTTAGAACGTTTAGTATTGTTTGAAAATAGAGAGTGATAAAAGCCTAGATAGTCATATTGCTTGGCCGACTTTTAGAAGTTTAGCTTGAGACGAGGGCCCTGTGAATGAGGTGATGGTGAGTACAAATAGAAGAGATGTGTGTCAGGGCTATTTAAGAGTTAGTAGGAAGAAGAAACGAGTTTAATAGAGAGATGGTCATGATATGATAGAATGCATGCGTTAGAAACTTAGCAATGAGTTAGTTCCAATTTGCATGTGTTGTCTTTAAGGAGCCCATGGAACATTCAAGAAGTGTCTTATACTTGTATATAAGATGTTAAAATTTTGAAAACAGCTGGCTATTATGTGACAAAACTTCTGCTAGGGAGACAGTGCACACATCTTCTTACTCAGATAGGGATCCCACAATAAACTAAAGTACAGATACCACTGAAATCCAACTTGGTGAACCAATGAGTTTTATTGGAGTTACTTACAGAAATATGGGTGAGAGATTACTTATAGGAGCAGAAATGACTCATAGACATCTGTATCACCAAAGCCCACCCTAGACTTGCTGACAGCTCACAAAGTTGGGAACCTGGATCATACTATCTATACAGTCTGCAGATAGCTTATCAGGTTGGGGGATGTCTTTTCCAGGTGCCTCAGTTATTCTAATCTTCCAACTGGCAGCTCACCTGGTTTCTGCTCTTCCAGGCTGCTGGTCTGGTGTTTTTGCAGGTGGCTTGTGGTTCTGGTCAGTTTGGGTGATTTCCTGAATCTATTTTGAGTTGTTTACCTTCTGTTTAAGGAGCTCCCCCTTAGGATGGACAGTTTCAATCTAGCAGGAAACTCTTAGATAACACTTGGCTAGCTCATAAATGAAAAATAGAATTGCATGTTTGGATAAAATAGCCTAGGGAACAAAGAGTGACTATTGCCATAGAAAACTCTAAAGAGAGCAATTCTTTAAGAGATAGGCAAAAGTTATACTTACTAATGCTGGATATTTTGTCCTTTATTTTAGAATGATGCTGAAACATTACAGAAGTGTCTTATTTTGTGCTATGAACTGTTGAAGCAGATATCCATTTCAACTGGAATTGGTGCAACCATGAATGGGATCATTGAATCTTTGGTACACTGCTGGTCTCTGAGGCCTTATACTCCTGTATCTTATTATATAATATGTTTATTAGTGCTTTAAATAATTAAAAGTCTACCATTTGAAAAATTTGATAAATATAAATAGTGAACTATGTATATCCATAATGACTACTTCATAGTATGAGGAATAAATAAGATAATGCATTTTTATAGTCATCATTTAAAATAAAATATAAACTGTTTCTTTAGAATATGTTCATTGAATGCATATTATCTGAGAAATGTTTAAAATATAGTATATTGCTGGGCGGTGGTGGCGCACGCCTTTAATCCCAGCACTCGGGAGGCAGAGGCAGGTGGATCTCTGTGAGTTCGAGACCAGCCTGGTCTACAAGAGCTAGTTCCAGGACAGGCTCCAAAACCACAGAGAAACCCTGTCTCGAAAAACCAAAAAAAAAAAAAAAAAAAAAAAAAAAAAAAACATATAGAATGCTATCCTGAATCCTCTGCTCAAGTGAGGGCAATAGTGTTAAAAAATAGATACTATGTATATTTATGTGTTCGTGTGTGACAATAACAAAGAGGCCCTCAATTTCTAAGGGGTGTGGGGCGCATGCAGTGGGTGATAGGGGACATGAGAGGAGCAAAGGGAAGCGGGGAAAGGTGTTGTAATTAAAATATAAAAATTAGTTACTTAGGCTATTGACACTGGTTATGAAGATTTCAGTGGTCACAAGTTAACTTAGTAATTGCAGGGTTTGACCTATTTGAGGAGAATGATCCTGTTATATCTTAAGATATGTGAAGAGAGGGAAGAACATTTAAAACCAGAGCCATATGTAAATATTAAAAACTAGTTTAGATTGATACATACTACAATAATAGTGTGGGAAGTCCTCTGTATATGTGTTGCATTTATTGGTTAATGAATAAAGCTGTTTGGACCAATGGCTTAGCAGAGTAAAGCCAGGCAGCAAATCAAAACAAAGTCAAAGGGATGCTTTGTAGCTGCCTAAGGTAGGTGCCCAAGAAGCAAGAGGTAACAAACCACGAGCCTTGTGTTAAAATGTAAACTAATAGAAATTGGTTAATTTAAGATATAAGCGCTAGCGAGCAATACACCTAAGCAATTGGCCAATCAGTGTTGTAATTAATACAGTTTCTGTTATTCAGGTCTGAGTGGCTGGGAATGAAGGAAAGAGCAGTATCCTTTTATATAGTAACAGTTTTAAAGATGGAAGAATATAAAATTTGTATAATTTTATCATTTACATTCTGTAACACTATTTAGAATATATAGGATTAACTCTATGTTAATCTAATGCTATGTTAAAAATAGTACTTTTGGGGGCTGGAGAGATGGCTCAGAGGTTAAGAGCATTGCCTGCTCTTCCAAAGGTCCTGAGTTCAATTCCCAGCAACCACATGGTGGCTCATAACCATCTGTAATGGGGTCTGGTGCCCTCTGCTGGCCCGCAGGCATACACACAGACAGAATATTATATACATAATAAATAAATAAATAAATAAATAGTACTTTTACTGATTTCTTTTTGCTTTAATATGGATTTTAAAATAACCAAAATGACATGTAGTTTCTGTTTGTGACCTCTGTTTTATTTCTGTTGAGTGATACTGAATGAACATGCTAACATCACAGTGAAGCATGTCTGAAAGGAGTAGGAAGGACTGCACCTTATATTAAGGAATTTGTCTCATTCTGTTAGCATTGGGAAGCTGAATCAGATTTAGCAGATGTGGGAATGTTACATATTGAAACGGGAAAATTTCTCTGTGTTCTGTTTAATCAACTTTATAATTACCTCTTTTCATTTTTTTAACTGAAAACTTTCTTTTTTAATATCTGTAATAGTATGGAAATGAAATAGCCTTACAAAATCATATGGAAACCATCAATTTGACCTTAATTTTAATATAGCATTGTAAATTTTTTGCCTTGTTAAAATTTAATTTTTACTTCATTGTAGATTCTTCCTGGAATAATAAGTGTTCATCCTGTAGTAAGAAATCTGGCTGTTTTGTGCTTGGGATGCTGTGGACTACAGAGTCAGGATTTTGCAAGTAAACACTTTATGTTATTCTTACAGGTAGGATTGATTTTATGACAAAAATCATGTGTCTGTTTCCTGAAATACTCTGTATCTCTAGCCATATGTTAATATTCTGGATGTGTTCAGATGCTTATTGATGATTGTGAATAATCTTTAGGGATTCAGTTTTTTCTTGATATCTTATCAAGATGTTCTTATAGAAAGAGATTGAAATAACAGTTTAAGATGATCATGTACCATGTATGAGTGCATATTATTTGCTGTCAGTGTCCTCTGCTTAGGATAAAAACAGTAGGTAAGTGATAAAGAGAACCCACTTAAGTCTGTGCTGAAGGGGAAACAATAGCATAGAGCATAGCAGCAGCAGGAATAGGAATGAGAAGAGGGTGAGGAACTATTTCATTGACGTGGCCTTAGTCATATTTTGACATTCAGGATCATAGAGAAAAGTTAAAAGAGCAAGCCTTATAAATACCTCGGTTCCTTTTTTTCTTAAAGATTTTATTTTTCTGTGTATAGTGTGTGTGTGTGTGTGTGTACATGCACCATGGGGGGCCCACCACCCCGCTCCCAAATAAATTACACGCAGAGAGACTTATTAGTTATAAATGTCCAGCCTTAGCTTGGCTTGTTTCTTGCCAATTTTTCTTAAATTATCCTGACTACCTTTTACCTCTGGACTTTTTATCTTTCTCTATTTCTGTATACCTTTCTTTCCTTCTTACTCTGATTGGCTGGGTGACTGGCCCCTGATGTCCTCTTTTTCTTGTTCTTTTGCTCCTCTGACTCATTTTTCCTATTTATTCTCTCTGCTTGCTAGCCCCACTCATCCTTGCTTCTGCCTCACTATTGGCCATTCATCTCTTAATAGGATCATGTGTTTTAGGTAGGCACAGTAACACAGCTTCACAGAGTTAAACAGATGCAGCATAAACAAAAGTCACACACCTGATAATAATATTACCCAACACTTAACTGCTGAGCAACCTCTCCACCTCAGACATCTCAGCTTCTTAGTGAAGAGAAGAGCAGAGGAGAAAGATCTTGGGGTGGTACCTTGCTTTGCCTGTTGGAGGAACAGGAGGACATACCACTAGGAAAGTCTAAGCAAAGTTATGGATATCAGGAGAAAGAGCTGGCAGGATGTTCATATCTTCTAAGAACTTACCCTGTAAAATAGAGATTTCCAATATAAATGATTCAGGGAAGAAAATTTATTTGGTTTTGATTATTTTGTCTGTAGCCTTCCTGCCCCATATTCTTTTACCTCTCATAACCTCTCTTCTGCCTTAATGTCACATGTGTCCTGTGTATCTTTTCTTGAGCATAACCCCACCCCACTTATATACATCCTATAAATACTGTTGGCTCGGGAGTCTAAGTTATCTCACTTAATAAAATTGTTGGGTCCGACCATGTTTTTAAAGTTAAAAGTATTTGTGGATGATTGATTGAAGGGGAGAAAACTTCTGAAGTTTGCCTATATTTTGTATACTATTCTGAGTTGTGGTTTTTAATTTTTTTAATTTTTTATTGTTTAGCCTTTTTTTAGTTTTCACAAGAGTTCATGATCAAAAGAAGATTACTAAGTAGATTCAATTTTGTATCTTCATAAAGGTTGGATTATTTTTTAACTTTTCTTTATATTGTGAGGCAGGGTTCCTTTATGTAGCCCTGGCTATCCTGGACCTCATTTTATAGACTAGATTGACCTTGAACACAGAGGTATGCCTGCCTCTGTCCCCGAGTGCTGAGGTTAAAGGCGTGCACCACCATGCCCAGCTCTATGAAAGTTTTTTTGTTTTTTGTTTTTTTTTTTTTTTTAAAAAAACCAAAGTATTCTTAAGGCTTTCATTGGACTATTTTTAGATGAGTGAAATGTCTATACTGGGATTAGAAAAACTTAAGTGCTAATAATAAAAATTTATATATAAAGATTTGTTATAAAATCAGAAGAGGGCAATTATTTCATCTTAGAATCTCCTTTGGACTGAATATTGGTAGCTATTGCTTGATATTAGGGGCATGAGTGTAACAAGGAAACTGTGGATGCTGAGGTAATAATGTATCTGAAGTTATGAGAGCCATCAAAATGACATATTAAGAGTATTTGGTTTTGTCAGATTTACAGGATTCATTCTCAAAACATGTAGTGGATATGTTCTTGAAATTCTTGTCTGAAGGCGTAAGTCACAAACAATCCCACACCAGTTTGGAATTATGATTAATAGAATGGTTATTTATTTAAGGGGGAAAAACTTACAGATCACCATCCCAGACAACATCCCTCTGTGCAATCAGGAAGGGAGCCTAGTCGCCAGAAGCAGAGCCCTAAGCCAGAGAGTAAACAGAGGGAAGTGGCTGCTTTTTTTAAAGGGAGAGAGACCACGCCCCAATGGGCTGGTATCTCAGCTGCTATTGGCTGAAGGAGCAGAAGGAGGAGCTCCCACAACACTTGTCAGTTTTGAAAATAAGTCATTTTTCTAACTATACTAATTTGATCAACATAGAGGTGATTTTTGGTTATTTTAAAGATCAAATTACATTGAATAGTATAGTTAATTCACAACAGAATCTCTTCCCCCCATGGTTTTGGAATTTGCTGTGTAGTTCTCAGGATAGACTTAAACTGTTTGTGTACATATGCAGAGATCTATGTTGGGTATCTTCCTCAGGTTATAGTCTAACTTTGAGACAAGGATTGCTCACTGAACCAGGACCTCCTTGATTTGGTTAGGTTGGTTGGCCAATGAGCACTAGGGATCCACCTGTCTCTGTTCCCCAGCGGCGGGGTTATATAGATGTGCACTGCTATGTAACTAGCTTCCTGTGTGGGTGCTGCTTATCTGAAAGGCTTGTGTTTGACAGGCACTTAAGCAACTAGGCCATCTCCCTAAACTACTTTATTGAAGCATCTTGTTGACAACTTAATTCATTATATGAAATCTGAATTTAAGTGAAGAGAAAAATTTTGCTTAAAAGGAACGTAAATGTACTAATATTGTAATAAAATTTTAAACTCATTAAAATGTACTGTTTTTTTTTGTTTCTGTTTGTTTGCTAGGCAGAGAGAACAGTTTACATATGATTATACAGTTTTTTTCTGGATCTTAGAAAATGATAAAATTTTACCGTAGTTGAGTTCTATTTTTCTTATCAATCCAGCCAGACAGTGACTTCAAAATCTTTTTCCACTGCAAAGATTGATTTAATGACTAAAGTTCTATTATGAGATAAATAAATAATTTGTTTTTTAAAAGTGAAATTTTAATTATAATTCTGAAAAGTGTTGTTTTTACTTAACACTGTCATTGAAATTTAACTAGGAAAGATACTAATTTTACTTAGAATATAGTATTAAGTTGTTTTGCTGAATTTTTGAGGGTTTCTAATTGTAGGTTTTGCAAATTGATGACGTCACAATAAAAATCAGTGCTTTAAAGGCAATCTTTGACCAGCTGATGACATTTGGGATTGAACCATTTAAAACTAAGAAAGCTAAGACCGTCCACTGTGAAGGTGCAGACATAAACAGTGGTGATGAAGAAGAAGAAGAAGCAGAAGATGCTGAAGAGACCGCCACAGCTAAAAATGTTCTCAAACTCCTCACTGACTTCTTAGATAGCGAGGTAGGGGATCATTCAGCTCTACAGTTATGAAACACTTGCAGCCTGTGTTTATCTTCTTTGCTCTATTTTTTTATTTTTACCAAAGTTTACCTTTGACACAATATTATTTTAAAAAATATTAGTTTAAAATTTAAATTTTACATCTTATTAGTTTTCATTATCAAATTAGTGTGCAAAGAATTGAAGGTTCCTTTGTTACAGTGTTTCTAACATAGTAACAGAAATGAATTAGAACAGATACTATTGCAAATGGGCAGTTTTCTGTTTTTAAAAATATTTTTTATTATATATATATATTTTTCCTAATTTCCTTTTGGATTGTTCACTGTTCTCAGAACAGAAATTCAGCTGAGATATGTGTGTGTAACTTTACATTTTGTGAATTGAACTGGCTTAATAACAAGTAACTTTGGAAAGGGGAATTCTTGGGATTTTTCCTCTATGTAAAACTGTTGTTTCTGAATAGGTACAATATTAATGCCATGTGTTTTGTTTCTTGTTCAATTGCTCTACCTCATCTTCTGGTACAGTGTTTGGTTTCTGAAGCAGATGTCCTTATTATATTCCTGGTATTAAGGTGAAAGTTATGAATCTTGTTAATAAATGTGGTATTGGTTATAGATTTTCATGAATGCCCTTTATCATTTTGAAAGGATTGCTTTCTATTCTTATACCCCTGGCTATTTTGTGTTTGTATTTTAATAAAAAGATAATTTAATTTTGCTGAGTGTTCCTTTTGCTTCAGTCAATATGATCATGAGGGATTTTCTTATCTTTGATTTGTTGATAATGGTATGTAACATTCATATTTGATTGTGGTATGCACCACCTGTGCATTTCTGTGATAAAATTCTGCTTGCCCATGATGCATGACCCTTTCACTGTGTTAATGAATTTGGTTTGCTACTATTTTGATGGAAAATTTTTCATCTGTTTTCATAAGTGACAGTCATCCATAGTTTTCTTATGTCTGATTTTCTTTCTCCATATTTTCTGTTGCTTACCTAATTCTAAACCTTGTTTACTTTACAGTCAGATTTGCTCTTTTCTTGTTCAGTGAGACATAATTTAGGTTATTGATTTGAGTTTTTTTTTTTAAATATAGCTATATCTTACTACAAAACTTGGCTCTGACCACTATTTATTGTAATCCTCTAAGTATTTTATTTTAGTTCTGTTTTTTGAGACAACCATATTCTGTAACCCAGGTTAGTTTATAATTTACTTTGTAGGCAAGACTAGCTTCAAACCTGCAGTGGTGTTTCTACTCTTATCAAATTCATGATAAAGTTAATGATTTTTGGATAGTTATTTTAAAATATCACACATAACCTTCAAAAGAAACTAGAGGTAAAACTTTCTGATTGAGTGTCATTTTTCCTAGGTGTCTGAACTCAGGACAGGAGCTGCAGAAGGATTAGCCAAGCTGATGTTCTCTGGGCTTCTGGTCAGCAGCAGGATTCTTTCTCGTCTTATTTTGTTATGGTATAATCCTGTGACTGAAGAGGATGTCCGACTTCGACATTGTCTAGGCGTGTTTTTTCCCGTGTTTGCTTTTGCAAGCAGGTATTGAGCCCTTGATAAAATCTTTATTTGAAGTCAGATTCAGCCTCCCCTGATGCACACCTGAATTATATCTATGTCGTTTTGTTGTTGATACAGCTTCTTTCAGTAGATGAATGGTAAGAACGTAGCGTACATTTTACAGAACCAGATTTTTTAAGCTTTTTCTGCATGGAAATAGTCTTATCTTCAGTAGATACATTTTGTGCATATTTTAGAATTAAACTTTTCCCTTAAATAATGTTTTGCCAACATACTAGTAAATGGAGTTTTTGGTATATCTTTTTGATCAAATCACTTTATTCAGAAGTTTGAAGTTAGGGAGGGCCAAAAAGGTTAAAGGGATCTGAAATCTTTAGCAGGGCAGATGTCCTTGGCCTTGTACTGAAAGTTCAAATTGCTTTTCAATAGGATTAATCAAGAATGCTTTGAAGAAGCCTTTTTTCCAACTCTGCAAACGCTGGCCAGTGCCCCAGCGTCATCTCCTTTAGCTGAAGTAGATGTCACAAATGTTGCTGAGTTGCTCATTGATCTGACAAGACCATGCAGATTGAATCCTCAGGGGAAGAATTCCCAAGATTATCAGGTGTGTGTGTTAGTCTGGGTGGCAAGTCCATCCACATGTGCATGAAGATCATTGTTGTCTGAGTGAAGAATTCCCTCTGCTGGGGTCTTTGAAATTGTGATGAATTACATTTATATTTTGAGGTTTTTGTTTTTCTGGCTTATAAAGCAGGTCCAAAAGGTGGAAAAGATCGTTGGGGAAATGTGGAGACATCAGGAAAATAGAAATAATGATTGCAAATGTTTCACAACCTAGAAGTTACTAAAACTTAGTATTTCCGTTACTTTTCTCCTCACCTTGCGGGGTAATCCTTGAAGTAATGACCTCTGTTATCTAAAACTCATTACATCCGCAAATGTAATGAGGACAATTTAAAGGCAAGAGTTTATTTCAAGCTCTTAAGTGGAGCATACAGGTCAACTGCTAGCTCATCTATAATTTAATTAATTTTAACTGGATTTTCAAATTCTTTAATGACATTTGCTTGAATATGTAGAAATTTGATGTCTTAATGATTTCAGATGCCAACTGGAAGTTGACAGTTTTGTTCTGTTTGTGCATTGTTATTTTATTTTATTTTTTTGTTATTTAGTGACTACTTTGTCACAGCATTATGTACTAGGAAGATTATATTAAAAAGGATATGAAGCAAAGTATGTTAAGGAACATATGTTAAGAGCCATCAAATGCTTTTGGAATTTAGGAAAATATAAGATTTGTTATAAGAATGATGAGTGTATCGTTAGTTTTATTTGCATTTCTGGGAATTAAACTAAGGTCTTGTTGCTGCTAGGCAACTGTTTTACTGCTGGATTATATCCCCAGCCCTCTTTTTATTTATTATTTTGAGACAGGGCATTATTAAGGTGCTTAAACAGCTTGGCTTCCCAAGTAGTTAGAATTACTGGTGTGTATCATCAGACCTGGCTGGAATTTGAGAAGTGGTTTGAGTAGATAGGAAAGATATGATTGCAAAGGTTGTAGTTGGCCCTATGTCAGTGTATAAATGGACTTAGTTATTAAAAAGTTAATAGGATGAGACCTGTTAACCAAGAAAATAAGGGTCACTGATGGTTATATGAGGCGAACTGGTGAGAAGATTTTGAGAAAGCTTGAGAGGCAAAAGATGATGAAATCTAAGAAAAGTCTACAATCTTAAGTGTGAGTAACAATACACTTGATAGAATGCCTGAGAGAGTGAGCAATGTAGTCTGGTGCATAGGTCAGATTGAATTGGAGTTTAAATAGGAGTTTCAGTTGATTTTTTTTTTTTTTTTTTTTTTTGAGTTGCTCAGGACTGAAATGAGTACCACTGTGGCTGGCTAGTCATTAGGTGTGCATTGACCTTTAAGGGCAGTGGTGTGAGTTTGGAAAAGGCCCACTTTGATCAGCCTGGATCATTTCAAAAGCTGGGTGATACTTCAGTCCTAAAGGAGATAGATCTGCTCTTTGTACCGTAGTACCCACTATGTCTAATAAAGGAAGGAGTTTCTTTTGGAGGCAAGGAGATAAAATTTAGGTTTAAGCATTTTGCAAGATAGTTAGAAATATTTTGTTTGATATATAGAACTATATTATGATAAAGCATTCTCATTTTATAAAGATTCTTCTTTTTAATTTTTTAGGCCTTAACAGTACATGACAATTTGGCTATAAAAATTTGTAATGAGATCCTCACAAGTCCATGGAAACCAGAAAATCGGGTTTATACAAAAGCTTTGAGTTCTATAGAACTCAGTAGCAGTGTTACAAAAGATCTCCTGCTTCTATTGGATGAGATTCTGGAGGTAAAACAGTTTTTAATACTCTCAAGTAGTTTGTGTTCATATTTATCAGAATGGAATTTAGATGGGTGTATTAAGTATTACCTGTTATTATATATTTTACCTGTTCATTAGAAATAATTGTTTCCTTCATGAATTTTATATAATTTTAAGAATGTTTTCAAACAACTTGATATTGGCGTATAACTTTTATTTATTTTATATCCCCCCACCCCCCCAGCAAGTAACAGATAGAACATGTCTGAGAGCTTTGGAGAAAATCAAGAATCAGTTAGAAAAAGGGACTAAAGAACTGGACCAGGTTGTAGTAGCACAGGACCAAGCACAGGATACCAACACTACTACAGCTCTTCAGAATGAAGATGGTAATTACATTCTCACTTGAATATCTGTGAAATTATAGTTTTCATCTCTACTGAGAATTTTATTCTGTTTTGATTGAATTTAAGAAATGAACAAGAATCTTTGAATCTCTTGGAAAAAGCTATTATATGTGTATTTATTCCACTTTTCAATGTATTTGAGTACGTTTCTTACTAACCATCTTGCCAGGAGCTTCATTTTGTAGTATTCACATTTTTGGAATGGGGATTTATTGTAACCATTGGTAGCAGCTAATAGAACTATTTTCTGTTTGTTTTATGTGAGATAAAAGGATCACTTAAAAAAACAAGACTGTCTTTTGTTTGTATTTTTTATGATTCCATGTATAGAAGCATATATGACTCCTTTGAGGGATGTAAAAGGAGCTCAGACATCAAAATCCACACAACGAAAGACTAACAGAGGTAAGATATGGACTGACCTCATCTTACAACTGTTTTCAATTTAAAATACTAACTTTACTCTCTTAGGAATAAAAATTCTCAAATGTCTTAGGTATACTTAAGTTTCTTTTACTCTCTTCAGCTGATGGAAATTCTTGATTTTTCTGAGGAATGTAAGATCATTATGCTCCAGAGGCTTTTAAATAAAAAATATCAAAAAGATTATACAATTAAGGGCTTTTTGTAGGTAAATCAAGAATATGTTAAACTGCCAGGTCTGGTGGCACATGCCTTTAATTCCAGCATTTGGGAGATAGAGGCAGGTGGATCTCTGAGTTCAAAGTCAGACTGTCCTACACAGTGAGTACTGAGACAGCCAGGGCTATGTAGAGAACCCTGTATCAAACAACAAAAGCCAACCAAACAATACAAGGTTAAATAATAGTTTTATAGTTTTAGTAGTATTAGAATTTTTGTGTCAATGAGCACTTTTTTCCCCTTTTACTTTCTTTTTCCCATCTAATTTCATCTTTTTTTTTTTTCCAAACTCAATTTCCCAAGGGGTATCCAACAGTAGAATATTTGTTAGGATAAATTCATGCTTGCTGGTAGGGGACCATGTGGAAAACATCTGAAATTCAAGGCCTTTTTAATTGTTTTATTAATTCCTTATTACAAAAGCAATGCATGCTTATTACAGAAGAATAAGAAAGTACATCCAAGCAGACCTACCATCAAGAACACTAATAGTCCCACCCATGAGCCAAACATGATTTTAATTATTGAAAATAGTTTTATGGCTCTGTTCTAAGTATATTTAATCTTTTCTAGCATAGAATCTGGCCATAATATTGTTTCATTGCAAACAATTATTTAAACACCAATTACTGGATATTGTTCGAAATTAGTTCCATATTCTTGGATGCCTTCCTGGGGGATAAATACATTAGTGAAAGCAAATAAATAAACGGAGGAGGAAATATATAACAATGAGTAGGGCATATACAGTTATATAAATTGTCAAATGAACAATTGATTTTGATCAGATTACTTTTAGTTACAGAATAAAGTATGAGAACTCCTTTTTTATTTTTTTTAATTCCAAACTTAATGTATACATACTACATTGTAGGCCAGATTTAGTATGTCTCTTTTCTCTTTTTCTTAAATTTTATTTTCTTCTCTTTTTCTTCTTTCTTTCTTTCTTTCTTTCTTTCGTTCTTTCGTTCTTTAAATCAGAATAGGTTTTCATATATCTTAGGTTAACTTCGAACTCTCACTATTGACCTTGAACTTCTGATTACAGGTTGGGAATATAGGTGGTATACCACCATGCTCCATTTTACATAGTCTCTCAAACCACGGCTTTGTACATGCTAGGTGAACACTCTACTCACTGAACTACATTCCCTAGTCCTTACTTCTCAACCTTGTAAAATAGTCTAAAGGGTAAACCCTGGTGTATAGAGATCTGCTTTTTGTTTTGTTTTGTTTTTATAACATTGAATTTTATTTAAGAGCACATTTGAACTTGAACCTGCCATGTATACGTAATTTAAGTATTTTACAAGAAGACTGTATCTTGCTGTTTAAATTTGAAGTCAGGTATGATAATGTCAGGATATAACAACAGCTGTTCTAGAGACTGTGTGGGGATAGCTTGAGCCCATTAGTTTGAGGCCAGTCTAGCTAGGCAACATAGTGCTTCAAAGATAAATACATATAACAAAAACAGTTTCGTTTTGGAGCTCTTCATTGACTAAATTTGCCTTTGTAACCTTTTTGTTAGTTTTTTCATATACGCTGTACCCTTGCTGAAAGAAAATCATCATATATGAGTGTTACCTTGCGTGTGTGCAAGAGTATGCATGCGGGTGTTGCTTCTTAGTCACAGTCTACTTGTTTCTGAGACAAGAGTTCATCACTGGTCTAGAGCTCTCCCAAGTATAGAGCCCTAGGGATCTGTGGGTCTCTGCCTTCCCAGTGCTGGGATTATAAGCTTGTGCCACCACACCTGACTGTTATGTGGGTTCTGGCATTTAAACTCTACTCCTCAGAACCAGCACTTTGCCAACTGAGCTGTCATACCAGCCTAAAATGTTTTTATTACCGCATATGGCGAGCTGAAGTTTGCCTCTTTGTCATGTTTGTCATGTATTTGTAGTGTTCATCCAAAGAAATTTATATAAATTTTAGTCTTTTTTTCCCTCGTCTGTGGTGTAGTGAAAGCATCAAGGTGGCTCTAGGAATAAGGAAATGTGTTGAAGAAGATTGTTGTGCTGAAAGTAAAGATTTAGATAGCATGGAAACTATATTTAGAAACATGAAACTATTCGAAATTTTGCTAATAAATTATACTGTCTTTAAGGACGGAAAAAAGCGCCACCTTCATCTAGGACTAACAGGAGGCGTCAGGCTCCTGAGACTGACTCCGAAAGGTATGTCGTATGTTTCTACAAGACACAGAAGATGCCAATCACTTTAATTTTGCTCAGAAGTAGAAAACTATAATTTTCTTGTGAGAGAAACTAATATTACAAGATAATAAAAGCCATAAATAATCTGTGACTTTGGCAAACAATTAAAATTATCCATCAGGAACATTAGACTTATGAAGATATATATATTTTTATTCATTGCCATTGTACTTAGTTACTACTTAGTTTAATGTGTTCTCATTTTTCATGTATTCTTATTCTCATTACCTGACTTTGTGTATATGACTCTGTATCTTTCAGTTACAATTCTGCTTATAACTTTAGTATATTAGTGGTTAGTATTAATAGTGTTTTTTTTTTCAGTCAATGTCAAGCCATATGGAGCCTGAAAAGTTTGTAGCTCTGCATTTGTTTACTCATTTTATTGGACTGTGCCTATTCTCTTAGATTAAGTCTTAGTGGAAGGATTTAACCATGTTTTAGTGATTTATTAACTATATTAAGAGAACATAGTACTAGTTTTCACTTTAATTTCAAAACTCTCTTTAGGACAAATTGTTGTGGTCTCTATGTAATTACAAGCGTCACTATAAAAGCTTGGTGTTTGCTTCTTTCCCTATATGACACCAGGCTTTACCAGTAGATTAAACTTACCAAATTAGCTAGCTTTTCTGTGATTCATGTGGCCGGATAGCCATCCAGTCAGTGTTTTTTGGTTATTGCTTGGGATTTTAGTTTTAAGCTTAGTTAATAGACTTAGACTGTCAATTATACACTGTTAGAATATCAGAAATTAAAAGTTTTATTTATAAATATTCTGAGTTTTAAAGCTTATATCTAAATTGAATGTATTTTCAATATCTTTAGTGATCATGGTGTTCCAGAACCACCTTCAGAAGTGAAGATGAGATTACCAAGACGAGCCAAAACAGCAGCACTAATGAGAAGTAAACTTAGTCTTGCACAGTTTATTAATGAAGATCCAAGTTAAGAGAGCTGATGAGGATGGAGTCCTTTGAAGTTGTGCTTATTTCTTTGCTTTAATAGTTACTGCGCTAAAAATAAGAAATGCTTGCTGTGTTTCTGGAACATGGAGTGTTGCCACATAACTTTGGCATCTGCCAGTGTGATCCATCTGCATGAATACATGCTTGTTTTTATTAGACTGTTAAGTGAACCTAGGAACCTACTTTTAAATAGGTTCCCTAGGTGAACCTTATGAAACTATGACATTTGGAAAGATTTGTAATAAGCCCAGTAGCTTATATTTGAGAAGCTTAGATAGAGTAGATCTAACATAGGTGACGGTGTCAGACATCAAACAAATGGCATTTGAAGGGTGAAGTATGTACGTATAGTTTTAAAGAAGTGCCTATTACCATTGAGGACTGGTATAATGAACCAAAGCATTCCTTATTTACATTAAACAATGGCTTTGAGAATTGTAGGATTCCTATACTAAGTATTTATTTGATAATCTTACCTCAATGGGTAATTTTCTCTTCCTAAAGCGTTCCATATAGGAACCCTTGTTTATGAATGTTTCTGGGATTAGGGAGATGTCCACACACATTAATCATGAAGACATTGGTTTTTGGCACATCAAAATATAATCTACCTGGAATAATAAACAATACTAATGGGAAATGAAAGTTATAAGAAGTCATCTTTATAGACTGATTTATGAGCAGTTTTTTTGCTATAAATTTCAGTTACCTTTTAAAATTGTCACTTATAAAACAAATGTTTTGAAAATTGCATTGTATAAAAGTAGACCTTTATTTCTGCCATATCCAATGTAATACCTTTTATTATTCCTGGTAATGATCTTTTCTCTTTATTTTGGATAAAAATGTCCTAATATGAATTTTTTATAAATTGTGCTTCTTTAAATTTATTTGTCAGAGGCTATTTATTTCAGCTGATGTTCTGAGATGGAGTGAAGGTAATATTGGTGGTTTTTAGAACCAAAAGGCTGTTCTATGTACATAATATGTGCTTTATAGAACTCGGAAAAGGAGTCAAAGTCACAAAGGGAGAATGCTCATTGATTAAAATGAAAAGGCATGTATGTTAATGATATAAACCAGTGAAAAACACTGTTGTTCTTCATCTCTCGGTTCTGTGTCTTTTCCTGTGCTTTATATTTCTTATTGTTAAACCTCCTGTTAAATCCTTGCCTTAAAAAAATTCATGGAGAATAGGAAGTAAACCTATTAGGAATGAACTACGATCTCATTTATATATGTGTAGAATATCCAAAAGGAAAGATGCTATGATCATGTAGACACTGTACCAAAGCTTGTTTTTCTGACATAGGAAAAGCAGCTTTTAATCACTAAACCATTAGTTAGTAGTCTTAACTACTCAGATTTAGACAATAGCCATGGCTGCAGGTGTACTTTGCATCATTAGATTAGTAAGGAATATTGTCCAGCTTCTACAGGATATCCCTGTAAGCTTTGGAGTAAACTGCTTAAAAGACAGTAAAACCAACAGGTATAAAAACAGTTAACCTTTTTTTTTTTCTTCATTCAAAATTGTTAACTTAAACCAGTGTTCTTGTTTACCATGAGGTACAAATTTGCTGAAGAGTAAACATGCAATTGTGCCATTGCTCTTATGGCTCACAGATGAGAGGTTTAAATTACAGAAAGAGAACCAATAACCTAAATTTTCTTTTTACGAATGAAAACATGCTATTTGATAAGCTAATCAACCTTTTTCTATACATATATAACTTTAGAAGAGATATACTTCCAAGTGATACCTTTGCCTTTCCCAGTTTGCTTCGAGGTAGTTAGTATCCACCTGTTACACAACTGTTCATGGGTTAGGTCATTATCACACACCTTTACAATACTAGCTTTCTAAATTACAGAATCTGTATATGTCAAAAACTGCACAGAAATAGAACTGGGCAATTACCAATAAAAAGAGAAACATCAAAATCTGCTTTTGTTGCAAAATTCCACAATGGTCTTACCTAATGTTTGTTAAAAAAAAAAAACAGAATTATAATAAAAATGATTAACACTAATGATTTAATATAAAGACATCACAGGACTAGAAATATTTTAGGATCAATTGGTTTTTCATGAGAAAGAATATTGACATATAAAATAATGATAGTGCAAGGACTTTAGACTATTTTTCTTCATGTTTGAGATTTTGGTTATTAACTGTACAGCTTGCTAGAGATGCTGCTGTCAGATTCCACTCAACAGGATGATTAAGGCACATCTTAACAGGGCTCAATGGGCAGCTTGCTGTGTTCTCATCTGACAAATCCACTTTCTCATCAGCTTTCATTTGTAGTACTCTGTAATAAAGAAAAGAAAAAAGTAAGACAAAAGATTTTAAGTTTAAATTTCCACTTGTCAACCTTGTAGAAGAGAAGTTTGGAATATTGTTTGCACCATAAAGCAAGTAAGCAAAGCATTTATCATCTTGACATGGCGTGGGAGGTCCTTCTGTCTATGTGTTGCTTTTATTGGTTAATGAATAAAGAAACTGGCTTGGTCTATAGCAAGGTAGAACTTAGGCAACAAAAGCTAGGCTGAATGCTGAGAGAAAGAGGGCCAAGTCAGAGAGAAGCCATGTAACCCCGCCAGAGACAGACGCTGGAAGGAACTTTACCTGGTAAGCCACAGCCACGTGTCGATACACAGATTAATGGAGATGGGTTAAATTAATGTGTAAGAGCTAGCCAATAAGAAGCTAGAGCTAATAGGCCAAACAATGATTTAATTAATACAGTTTCTGGGTGGTTATTTCGGGGCTGAGCTGCTGAGCAGCCGGAATGACCAAGCGGCCTTTCTACAACACTGACAGTTCTTGTTCTTTATGCTGCCTTAGTGATCAACAATGCCATTTTTAAGTGTGCCTCGAGGTGTTCACTCAGATACTTCAGTACAAAAGATGTCAATCATTGCATTACATTAGTCTATATAAGAAAGGTGTTTTACTTACCAGAAGGTTTAGCATCAGGACTACATTTAAGAGAATGAATATTTGTTTATTCCTAATGTGTTCTAGGCTCCCTCATTTTAATTTCATAGCTAACCAAGGTTGTATATTTACAGTGATAAGCTGAGTCTCTGAAAGTTAAGTACAAATATGATGTCATACTGTAACTGGTGTAGAACTGGAAACATAACCCCTTCTCTTTCTCTTGCTCTGTTAGCTTTCTAGTGGACTGAATAATCATTAGGAGTAGATATAAAAAGTAGGTATGTTTGGTAGAAGAATGCCAAGTTGTCTAGCCTATCTTATCCGGTGGTCAGCTTAACGCAGGAAGAGGCAGCTCCTATTACGTAAGACTCCTTTCTTCCCTCCCCCTCTTTCTCTTCCTCTCTCCCTCCCTCCTTGCCTCCTTCCCTTCTTTCTTCCTTAGATTAATGAAGTTGATGGCTTTTATTTGAATTTAGGTTGGGTTAGTGAGATGTCTTCCTGTGGTTAATCTCTAATGCATGCCCTCTGGTTCTTGCAAGACTCTTATTTCACATGTTAATGGGCACAGTCCTATTTGTTCCTGAATGCCATCATAGGTAACCTCGCCCTCCACTAAGCTTAATCAGACATTTCAATGTTTCAGAGCCTGACCCAAATCTCACATCTCAGAACCTATTTTAGTACTTGGTAGAATAATGACAGAACTTTTCTTGGCTCTGTTATTGTTTTATGTCTGATATCCTTTTTCTAGATCTTAAAGGAGATTGACACACTTAACTGGAGATAAAACAATGCTGAATATGTGGCAAGTTGCTCAACAAAAACAAAAACATAAAAATAGAAATAATGTAATGCCTAGAATAATCCAGCTCTTTAAATTTATGCAAGCTTGAGTCCAGAGGAAAAGTTATTCCACTTTACTTTATACTGTTAGTTTAAATGGAATACAACTCTTAAGCCTTTTCCAGCTATGAATCTTCCTATTGGTAATGAGAATATTGAGATATCTCAGTGTGACTTGATAGAGCTGGGCAGCAGCACATTCAGATCCCTTAACCTATTTTTGATTGTTCTGTACAATTTACAGCTATTAGTACACCAAACCTGCTATACTGTGTTCTAATACCACTGGCAGTCTCAGTGTTTTTTTTTTTTTCCAGGCACAAGCATTTTCTACTAAAAACATGGTTTCAATTTATATAATTATACTAGACAAAACAAAAAACTATGTCAGCTTGTTAGTCATAGAAATATATTAAGCAAAAGTAAAAACAGATGCAATTTGTAAATATTAATATGTTTAAAATAAATTTTGCTTGATCAATGACAGAAAGGTCTAAATGACTATCAGAGATGTCTGAATGGGACTTAAATTTGGGTCCTCTGAGAGAGTAATATGTGTCCTTAACTGCTGAACCATTTTTCTAGCAGAAAAAACACTTTTGTTTTAGAGTGTTTGGTTTTGATTCTGGGTGGGGATTGAACCTAAGACATCACAGTTTGGCAGGTGATCTAAGTGATGTGCCGCTGATAGAACTGACTGTAATTTTAAATCAGGTATTTGATAGACACGTTTCTGAGAACTTAAGGTAAGCTATATGTCGATAAATTGGGTTGGCAGCTAAACATATTAAGCATAAAGCTAAGAAAAGAAAAGTCATATTGTTTCACTTGCCAATTTTTGACAATGATGCCTTTAAAGTAAGTGCTATTACTACATAAATGTCAAAGGGTGCACAAAATTATGTGTGCAGAAAAGACAAGAAATAAACTTACTATTAATTACTATTAATGTATATACTAATGTTTAATTCATATATACTTATACTATTACAAAGTTCTAAAAATGCTAATTGTCATTCTCTGACCTTATAAAAGTAAGTTTATCCTTCAGTCTATTTTTGTTTGTATGAAAAAGTTGATACTTTGTCAACTTAAACGAGCCATTTGAAATGTTTTAAAAAATCTATATATTAACTAAAATGTGTAGTACCTAATATTCTGGTCAAACGAAGAAGCTAGAGGAGTTATTTATCCTAAGTCAG